ACCCAGGAAAACAGAGTGCCCTCCTCTTTAACAAAGAAATACACTGAAGAGTAACTTCATGGTTAATGCTTTCACATAACGTATAACTTTTCTTTGAGGGGAAATCAGAAAAACAATTCTTAATGACAACCTGCCAAAAAATATGGTATTAAACTATTAAGGGACAATTCACCACCTTATTATTATTCATTGAAAGCCACTCTTTTTCCCCAGTGGAAGAGAGGAAAATGTCTTTATAATTGTCAGAATGATCTGAGAGATCCTGAATTATAATTACCATCTTGTGTCACATACAAAAAGTTGGAAGTAGCTGAAACCGGTTTGGCTCAGTGGTAGAGCGTCGGTCTGCGGACTGAAAGGTCCCAGATTCAATTCCAGTCAAGGGCATGTACATTGGTTGGGGACACATCCCTGGTAGGGGGTGTTCAAGAGGCAGCTGGTCGATGTTTCTCTCTCATCCATGTTTCTAGCTCTTTCTCTCTTTCCTTTCCTCTCTATAAAAATCAATAAAATATATATATTTAAAAAAAAGTTGGAAGTAGATATCACATTTCACTTAACAGAAGACATTATTGATTGCAAAAGACATACAGATTTCTGAAATGTTAAAAGGTGAAAAATGTGTGTGTTGTGGATTTATTAAAATAACACACTATTTACCTCATTCAGAATTTTGATCAATTCTGAGATAAAACTTGTTCCCTATTTATAGAAAAGGATGTAAAAAGGAGGTAAGTTTTTCAGGGTCATTTAGCTAATAAGTAAAGACAGAATGAACTCGAGTATATATTTGCTTGACTATTATGTTCAAACTCTTCATTATGCAATGTTGTTTCTGCAGTTCCTTGTACAGATAAGAAATAAAAATAGGTACCAACTAACATGTTTATAGAACTTTATAGCTGCCGTGTTTGTCATAGGCCTAGTAATCTGCTAGGCATCATCAGCCCTGTTTTTCAAATGAGAAAAGCTGGACCCAGGAAGACAGAATGACTCACTCAAGGTCACATAATTAGAAAGTGTCAGAGCCAGGAGTGAAACCCAAGATAAATGACTCTTCATGCAAACCATGTTTGACTAAGGTAAGACATTAACCAGCTACCACGCTTGAAATTAGATCACATGCATAAAGATTATTCAAAGAGAAATATATTGGACATTTAAGAAGAGATGTCGCACATGTCAGATGAATTTATTGAGTTATTCAATGAATTATTGAATGGCTACTTTGATGTAGGTTGTTAAAGAGTAGTGAATAAAAGGCAAAAATCACATGGAACTTCTAATTTCTATAGAGAGAAATAAGGTAGGAGAGGGTAGGAAAGGGGAGCTTGCAATTTCAAATAGTGGCCAAGGAAGGTGGCCCTGCAAAGGTGTGACATTTGAGCCAAGATAAAGGCAATAAAGAAGTAAGCCACATGGACGGCTGTGACAAGAACATTCAGGCAGAAGGAACAAAGGACCCGAATTGTAATGTGCTGGTCTATTGCAGGAGCAGCTAAAGAGGTCAGAGAACTACTGGGGGCATAGGGTGAAGTGGGTGTGCTGACATATCAATCACACAGGGCCTTGTAGGCCAATGTAAAGACCGGAACAGAGCAAAATGCTGACCTTGGGCAGAGCAGCCTCATGGAATTTGGAATCTGGTCAGCTTGAATGAACCAGTTCTAGGCCTTCCAAGTATGTCTACATCATCAGTCCAATTTAGTCTTGGGCTACCTGGCAAATGGATGTTACTCTGTGTTTACCTTGTTACTGTTTTATAAAACATGACCTATCTTGAGCGTGTTGATAGGCTAGCTTCCAGATTAGTAGACAGCTAATAAATAAACATGTATTAGAGACCTATGATCAGTGCTGGATATTTTAAGAAAAGCATCCGGACTCACATGCTTGGTCATTCTACCACCCCCATTGTGAAGGACAGGTGGAGTGAAGTGAGAATGAAGTCAAGGAGGCTGTTACAGCAGTCCAGGCAAAATGATGACGGTGAACTGGGAGAGGAGAAATGGAAAAATGGGGTAGAGATAAGAAGTACCCAAGAGATGGACCAATCCTAGGTTAGGGAAAGATGAGATGAGCAGTGTGTGAGTGAGAGGTGAGTCAAGGTTGACTGTGGTGGTCCAGCATGGGTGACTGTGTGGATGCCATCTTTCCCTAAGAATATGGGAAGGAAAAGGTTTGCTCATGAAGAAGGCAAGAAAACAAGTATCATTGTTCTGATGCAGGCAGTTTCAGTGGAAGGAGGGGATCACTAGGAAGTGTCCAGATGAAGATTCTTGGAGGTCTTAGGGCTTTACCTTAGACCTAAAAGATGGTCAGGATGTGGAATAGAGAAGGGAAGGAAACACAGCATTCCAGGCAGGAAAAAAAAAAATGAACAAAGGCACAGATATGGCAGGGTAACGACATGGGTCTTTGTAAGCAGGAGAGCAGTGGAGGAAAGGATGAAGAGGATGGTCCTTGGATGCTGAGGAGTCTGCATCTGAAATCCTCCTTTCAGAAAGGGAATTCACTGTTTCTGAAGGCACCTAGGCCCACTGTTGATTGGCATCCTTAGGTGACTAATAGTAGTAGTAGCCATAAATGTCCTGCTAGTATTGCTAGTGATCTCATACAACTACACTTGGTTGGTGTTGAGCAGCTGGGCCGCTCTAGCCAGAACTCAGCTCTCCTGAATCCCATCTCAAGACTAAGCAGACGTGTTAGTAGTTTACTATTCATGACCACTGCTCTTTCTTCCTCCAAACACATTAGTTATATTTTAAGTGTCAAAAAACAAGTTTAACATTTTATCTAAATTGATTTCCTTTCACTATGAAGCATTCATTGTTCTTTTAATTTGAACGAAATAAATTCTGTAATGAATTTTTCACAATGCTAATATATAAAGTAAAATAAACTTTTAGTCTATCCTGTATTGTCTAGCCGATCAGACACAGTAATAATAAAAATTTCAACTCTATCCAAATAATACATAACTTGGATTTAACTTTGTAAATTTAACTTTATATATATATAAAATAGAAGTCTCAGCTGTAAAAAAATATCAATTGCTTGGCTTAGTCTGAAATTATTGCCTGTGGTGGTGGGATACTGGTAATGTCTTTTCAAGTCCATAAGGAAAAAAAAAAATACAAACCAGAGCATTAGCTACAGTTAAGTATTTTCCTGAAATACATTCACATCTCTCCCCTTCATTTCCCCTTGGCAACCACCGAATCCCTAACAGCGCTGATAATTCATCATTTTTTGCTTCAGTGCGGCCCTGGAAAACAAAGCCATCCTGAGCTCCGTCCGTGTCCTTAGGAACCGAGACAGATCACAGGTAACACAGATGAGCTCTTCCAGGAAATCCTGCTTCTCCCATAATACAATCTGAGCTCACGTCAGCTGCTACGGGGCAAACTGCTAAACGCCTGTCAAAAACAACAAAAAGAAGGACCACGTCCTTCCTTCCTTGTAAATTTAAGCCGCCTCTGCCTTTCTTCCCTTTTACAGCTTCCTTCATTTTCATTCATTTCCCTGCCGCACTGGCTGTGCACGGTGTACAGCTTCCATACCTAATTTTTTTGCCAAGGGCTTAGATGCAATAAAACCACTTTCCTCTCTGACTGCCTAAATGCGCATTTCAGGAACACACTCCCTTTGGTTTTCTACCTCTGCTAAATTCGATCTCAATTTTCTGCTAATTGTGCTCTAAATTCTCAGAAATGTGCCTCAGAGCCTGGATCACGAGGAAGAGGAAGCGAGTTTGGCAGGCAAATGCAGCAAACAGCTAAGGGATGGAGATAAAACAGGCGCTCTCCCTGGGAAATGACTGGAGGGAAGTCAGATTTCCAGCCCGAGACACATGAGCCTACTTCTCCCTTTTGGGCCCAGAAATTTGGATACTACCTATCTTCAATAGCTGTTTCACCAAGGACGCTAAGTGCTGTACAAAGGGATTCCCCCTACAAGCCAATTAAAAAAAAAAAGTCACTGATCAAACATAGATTCTTCACGAAAGGAGGCATTTTTGTTTTGTCCATTAATAAGTTGGAACCTTCCAGAACAGTGCCCAGCACATAGTAGGTGCTTGATAAGTATTTGTTAAAAGAGCAATTTCACTGGATGCACCATACGCAAAAATGTTCTCTCTCAAACAGTAAGCAAGAAGCCCTTTAACTTACAACTGTTTTCCAAATCGCTTTTTCTCCATTCCCAGATCGTCGCTATAAAAGCCAAGTACAGTGGAGCATCAGAAACAAACAATAAAACATCGCATTATGAATTGAGTTTTTGCTTCGCGATTTGAAAGATTTGCCATTAAACACCGATTTCTTTCTTTCATGTTTGTTATCTGCACTTCCATTTCCAATTTACCCCCTTATGTGGAGTGACAGTTCACTATTCATCCTTCAAATAAGAGAACGAGCATATAAACATCTACCTTATTTCACCGGGAATTCAAAGATTGCTTTTTCAAAGGAGGCGTGAGGCGGTTATTTTCCTTTTTAACGTTCACTTCCATTTTTGAAACTTACGTTCTTACAAGGTTGAAACTTTGGTAGTTTACTTTTTTTTGCCCATTACACAAAGGAACACATTAGATAGGACATCCTCTTGTGGCACCATGTGACACAGTGTCATCAGGAGAGTTTTGTGTTTTTTTTTCCCCTCCTGGTTTGTTTTAACCGCCAACCATAGGCCATTTGACAAGTAATTCAGTTACTATTATGACCAGATCTCCTCATTCAGCATAGAAAAAGAACTACATTATTTTTAATTTTGTCTTCTTCTAAATGGAAAGCACGTTTTGTCATTTTGGATGCTTCCAGTAGAGTCATTAGAAAAAAAACCCCAATTTGTATACTTTTCCCAAAACATCTCTTTTCTGGCGATGAGTTAAAATGTGAATAATGAGGAGGTGAGGGGAAAAGGACCCATTATTTTGTGGAGTCAGATGGTTTCAAGGTCCTTTAGTGCATATGAGGCTGAATGGTTCTAAGAGGCCTTACCTGTCCATAGCCTTGGGGAATTCCACTATCTCTGAAGTGCTAACTTGTATCCTGAAGTCTGCAGACAAAGCCCACAATAGGGCCTAATTAATCAAAATTTCTCCCAAGCACCGGGTCCAACCTAAAATAAGTGAATGAATTAATTAATAAAAAGTAAATAGCATATGCTTTTTCCTAACATTTGTTTTAATTTTGATAAAGAAACATGTACAATTGCTCAAGAATGAATACAATTGGTGCTGATTCCGCGGCACTTCCCCCCCTCCCCCCAATGTCTCCATTGATGAGTCAGCTTCCCATTGCCAACAAATTTCCTTTTCCCTAAACTTAAAGTAAATGTTTAACAAAAGCTTTTATTGGCTTTGCTCCCCACCTGAGGCTGCTGTCACCTCTCTTCTGTTGAGTCCTCACTTCCCCATAGTTTGTTCAACAACCAGTCTACACCCAGTGTCCTCTGGCTGCCCTACTCCTGGCTTGTCTCAAACCGCTGGTTCATTTCCTCGCCATCTTGAAGGGTATTCTCTCCTCTGGTACCTCCAATTTTCTATGGATGTGCCAGTGATTTGATTTAGATTGTAGGCCATTTGGATGCATTTCTTACCACCAACACACAGCACACTAGCTTGTGCACACACATACATTTTAACACAATAGAGTTCTAATGTTAGCTGCCAGGAGGGATCACAAAGGGACTTGCAACTAAGAGCAAATTCTTCTTAGAATGAGTCCTGCAACATTATTTATGTTAAAATAGCCATTTTCCAACATTTCATGGGTCATCAGAAACAAAATTTCCAAAAGGAGAGAAAAGGGCCTTTGCCACAATGTGGGGTTCTTTATACTCTTCCCACTTAGGCTCCACCCCTTAGAAACCTAATCAATGAGTATCCATAAACTTATCATTCCTATTATAATAGTATCTTTGTGAGTGAAAGGGAAAAGGTATGGAGAATGTGTGGTCCTCTTCCAAACCCCAATGGTTTTATTATTTTTTTTAAATTATATTTTATTGATTTTTTACAGAGAGGAACGGAGAGAGATAGAGAGTTAGAAACATCAATGAAAGAAGCATTGATCAGCTATCTCCTGCACATCCCCTACAGGGGATGTGACCGGAATTGAACCTGGGACCTTTCAGTCCGCAGGCTGACGCTCTATCCACTGAGCCAGTTTCGGCAACCCAAATGGTTTTAAATCCCCAATATGAAATTGTTCATGATCAGAATCTTCATCCTCTGCCCAGTTAACATTTTAGGGAGAACTTAACTCCATCCTCAGCACAACCATGTGTTTAATTATCACATGGGCCCTGAGCTGAGCTCTTCCCCATACATAAACTATCCATTCCTTACCCATACTAAGCTCCTACTCTGCTTCTGGCACTGTTTGATATACTAGCTTACATTCTACCATGTGGGAGGAGGGACACTGATCCTATATAATAAAAGGCTAATATGCAAATCGACCAAATGGCGGAACAACCAGTTGCTATGATGCACACTGACCACCAGGGGGCAGATAAAGCAGCAAGTGCAAAGGACCTGAGGTTGCAAGGTCCTTGGTGTCCTCTCTCCCCTGAGCTCCTGGTGGTACCCTGGAATATACTATCTAGGATGTCCTCCTCTCTCAGGCTGTCTTATAGGCTGAGATTTCAGTCTCAGCAGTAGTCGGATGCTCACAGCCTTCATTTCAATACTTCACATTTGATCTTCAATGGGTTCAGAAAGAAAAAGCAATTCAAAGCAAGAAGCAAGTCTGTAAATTCACAGGACCACTGCAGACCCAATTGTCTAATATGTCACCTTCCTTATCTAAAAATTCATGGGCCACACTCCATAGAATTTAGTGCCAAGAAACAAAAATGCTTCTGAAAATCTGTCTCCTTTCGAGAACCAATTAGTAAGGAACCTGTCCTGTAATCCTTTTATTCTGGCTGCTGGAACCCCAGAGCTAAAAGGTTGTGCTCCTGCTACAATAACAATACCTTCCATGGCTTGTGCTGTGTTCAAACCCCGCCCCCACTCCCCACCTCCTCCTTTTATTTCTGTCTGTGGCTTATCTTTATTTTGTTTCATTTTCATTGCCCTGTGTGAAGAGTGCTTTTATTAAGCTGCCCCAACCCTTTGGGAATAGATGATGTGTAAATCATTAATCATGAGTGCTTTCTAGACAATCACAAGGAACTTCCTCATTGCAAAATCCAGCGTGTTGCCTTGGTCCTATTTTTACCCTTTCTGCCGCATGGCAAAGCTCAGCTGCTCTTCTGTCTTAAGTCTGTCTCTCCTCTCCAACATCTTCTGCAAAATTAACGCTCAGATGAATAAAATGGTTGAAAAACAACCCTTCCTTGGTTTCATGGCATACAACAGTATCTCCACGCATATAATGTAGTTTAGTTTCCTTCTTTCCCCGCATGCCCAGGATTCTATTCTAGGCCTGGGTGTTCTCTACACGTCTTCCTTTGGCAATCACCTGCCACTGTCACCTCTCAGGAAAAGATTTTCAGATTTTATTTCTAGTCCCAGCCTGTCTCTGGAGTTCGCATTCCAAATTCCCTGGAACCATCTGAAGCTCAGCGTTCAGATGGCACCTGCAAGTTCTTTACCCTCCCAGTCCTTAAACTACCCCATCACATCTCTGTCCATTTCTTGTCCACAAAGTGTTGGTCAGCAAGTTTATCACCTTTCAAGGCAGCCCACCTAGCTAGTCAGCATTGAGGAGTAAAAACCTATTTCCAATAGAATGGCAAAATCTATCTCTCTGATGTGTGCCCACTGGTTTTAATGCTCTTAAGAGAAAGGATGAGAGCTGAGACACATGAAATGCCAAATGTGTACCAGGGGCATTGCCCATATGATCTCCTGACAAGCCTGCCATGTAGTTTTATTATTCCTACTAGTGGCCCGGTGCACGAAATTCATGCAAGGGGTTGGGGGGTAATGTTTCTCAGCCCAGCCTATACCCTCTTTAATTTGGGACCCTGCGGGGGATGTGTGACTGCAGGTTTAGGCCTGATCCCTGTGGCAGTTGGATATCCCTCTCGCAATCCGGGACTGCTGGCTTCTAACCACTCACCTGCCTGCCTGCCTGATTGCCCCTAACCACTCTGCCTGCTGGCCTGCTCGCCCCCAACTGCCCCCCTCATCTGCCCCCCTGCTGGCCTGCTCAATACCCTCCACCCCCCACCTGCCAGCCTTATCACCTCACCACCACCTTGATCACCCACAACTGCCATCTCATCCTGGGCTAATCTCCCCTCCCCTCTTGGCCCTTAACTGCCTTACCTCGGCCCCACCACCATGGCTTTGTCCAGAGAACGTCCAGAAGGTCTCCTGGAAGGTCTCCCAGCCTAATTAGCATATCGCCCTTATATTAGTATAGATTATATCATTGGGACAACTTAATATTAGTCTAATTATTTCACACAGCCCTTCTCCAAGTGGCGAAGCACTCGTATTCTTTAGCAGGGGTCTTCAAACTTCTCTCATTATGAGAATCACCTGGTGGAGTTGTTAAAACACAGATCCCCGGATCCCATCTATAAGAAGTGCTATCAGGAATCTGTGTTTTAACACCTCCACCAGGTGATTCTCATAATGAGAGAAGTTTGAAGACCCCTGCTTTAGAGGAACTGACTCTATTCCAAGTTCAGAAAGTACACATTCCTCCAATTACTTCTGCTATGAATTATTGTTTCTTTGTAAGTTTTACCATCTGTATTGAAAACCTCTAACCATGGTGTAAAAAAAAAAAAATAACAAAACACAGTTCAAATGAACATTCCCGTTGTGGTTTGACTGCACAGAATAGAACCAAACTGTCACCAATTACACTAGGTACGGTGGGTGTGTTTCTGTCAACAATCTAAAACCACACCTGCTGCTTTCTACAAAACCCACTAGACTTTTGAAGGACAGCCTGCTGACCATCTGCCAGAACTCTGACGGAAGGGCAAACTGCTTCCCAAACTGAACTCGGACTGTTTCTTCCCTAACCTCTTCATCAGTTCGGTTTCTCCCGATCTTCACAGCATCTGGAGCAACCAGACATGCAGGCTCAGATGCTCCACATGAACTTTAAGGGTCCTTTTACATCTTCTAAGTCTCACTGGTGACCAAATCCAGAGGGCTTTGAGTCAGACCAAGTTCCCACAAGGTCATCTTCCTACTGCCTTAGCTTGGACCTTCCCAGGTCAGGCCTGGACAGCTGAAATTCTGTTCCTGCCCCCACCCTGGCCGCCCACTGCACAGACCTGAGGGAGCACTCATCTCAGGCTATGATCCCTACCAACATAGCATGCATGGCACTCCATGACTACCAAGGGCAATTCTAGCTATTCACCTTGATATATATATATAATTAGTGTTAATATTTTATCTCTTTTTATTCATCTGGATTATTTTTATTATTATTTAAATTTTATCTTTATTGTTGAAAATATTACAGATGTCCGTTTCCCCCCCTCCCCATTGATTTTTTTATCCCAACTCCTTCCTTCTCCACACTATCGTCTATATCATGGATTTTGCATATATGCACATACATTCTTTGGTTAATCTCTCCCCACCCACCTCCACACTCCCTAACCCCATTTTCCTTCTGAGAGTCATCAGTCTGTTTCATGCTTCTATGCCTCTGGATCTATTTTGTTCATCTCATTATTAACACCCACCAGCACCTGTCTCCTTTCTGGCCTGATCATCCTAGGATTTCCTGGATGTGTTATATATTCCTGGAAAACTACACATCAAGTATTTTTTTTTTAATTTTCTTAGTTTTGTGCCTTTATTTACATTATCCTTGAGCCTGGGAGACTTTTTTTTATTTTTTTTTTTTTTTTTGCCTGTCAAATTTCTGTTTTTCAATAATTTGAGAAAATGTCACAAACTCTATGAAACTTGTGCCAGACCTGACCATCTAAAACTCGTCTGAAGTTCCTGAGTTCTCACAGCGCTTTACTTTTCTCCTAGAATAGAACAGTAATAGCAAATTACATCTGTATTTTCTTTCTTCAATTAGCTTTTAGGATCCTGAAGCCTTAGCTATGTCTTATTTAATTTTGCTCTTCCCAGTTACAGAGTAGGGCTCCAGCGAGATGCATGAATGATGAAGGAGAAAGTA